TGTCAACGGCGAATGACCGCGAAATTCAAGCTAAGTATATAACGCATCTTCATAAGCAATGCTGTATGTTTTCCAGAGGCATATAATATGACATTCTTAGAGCGGGCCCACACGTTTGACTAAACTATCAGACAACAGTTATGCGACTGTCGATTATTTAGTTGCACAACTAAAAATCAAGTAATTTGCGCATCTCCATACAGTCACATAAGAATTAAAGCGAGACTAAACAGTTTAATGTAGTAAAAAGTGAGGGCGCTCACAGTTTACAAAATTACGGACTTAAAAACCTTGTATGACGTCATTAATGTCAATGACATCACAACCTTTTAGCCACACAACCTCGCGCACTCATACAGTTCACTGAAGCGGCGACTGTAATGTTGAGTGCGACTGCACTCGGCGCGCGCCGTGACGTCACTCCTCTCACCGGAGATAACTACCACTCGCCCGCTGTCCGCTCGCGGCAGTGGACCACCTCCCTTATGTCGCCATTCTCAGCTAACATCGCCGCTGTGTTATACAAGTAAGTTAAATCATCATCATCACCATCTCACTATACGTCCCCACTGCGGGGCTCCTTTTTCTCGCTGGGAAAATGCATTTACGCTACCCCCCCTAGTAATGGGGGGAGGGGGGGGTATGTGGAACTCCCCGGCCAAGAGGTGGCCGGAATACCTACTAAAACCCAGCGGTATTCCTCCTGGTCGCTATTGGCAGAGTCATGGGAGCACTAAGGGGGGGGGGGGGTCTCGGAGCAACCACACTGCACTGCAGGTTGACTTCACACATATCATTGAATTTCTTCGCTGACATTTGTAAACATTATGATGTTTTACTTCACTAAAAGAACATTCGGTAAATTATGTACATGTGAAAATTTAAAAATTATCATTGTTTTATGACCGGGATTCGAACCCAAGACTAGTAGTTTACAATTCAAGTGCTTAAACCACTGAGCCACCAACGCTTTTTAAATAGAGTGAACACATCTACTAATGAAAATAGTGTAGATAATAAAATAGTTTTTGTCTCTGACACGAGGAACTAATAAAATCTAGTAAAATAATCTTGAAAATCAGTCTAGTAGTTTTAGAGTCATTTTTTGCGAACAAAAATCTTTCTTTATAACATTAATAGAGAAATACAAATAAATTAATAGAGCAAAGAGAAACATAATGTAATCCAATGTAAATGTAATATAATATTTGTTAAAAACATTTTAATTTACTAAGTTTTTGAGGTTATAAAAAAAATAATTTACAGATGCACACAAGACGGTAACTTCCAAGTGAAAGGTGAGTATCAAGTATTATTCCTAGAGAACGAGAAGCCAATGAAAATCGAGGGCTGTCGCGTCGGACTCTGCGATTGGAACTTTGTTAAAAACAAATACAGCGACATCGCAGATACATGCGATTTGCAATTCTGTAACAACGCTAATAATATTAAAGGATATATCTCTATTGTTTTATTAGTCACATTTTTCACTACAATTTCTTTATAAATTATTTTAAAATATGACCGTTAAACACAGCCCTAATTTTCTTGAAAAAAATATTGTCTCTGGTTGTTCAAAGAACACGATGTTTTTTCATCTGTTTCATAAATCGTTAATGTTTATGTTTTTTCTCATATTCAGTCAGTACTTATAAATACTTTAAGCAAAAAAAAATAACGCTTCTAAGATAGCAGCAAGTAATAGATAATTAGCTTTACCACGTGCAGTATTGCCATTATTTAAAAATCAATATAATGAAAATTCACTTAAACTAAAAAAAAGTTTTAAGAACGACTTCAAACACTTATAGTATTTTTAGTAATGGTGTAATTTTTTAAATAAACTGTTACTGCTTTTATTTTAGTTTTTAAATAGTAAGAGAAACACATTTTTAAATTATCAAAGCACTGTTGAAGATTTGTATATTAATTATTATTCGTTTTTTTTAAGAGCTAAATAAAACAATTTTATAGTATTATCATGAATTATATTTTAATGTTGTTTTTGTGTATTTTAGTACAAATTAGGTTAGAAATGTAAGTTCGTTTGCTACCATTTTGTTTTTAGTTTTTCCAGTTAATAAAATTTAAATGTTTACTGAAGACTTTTATTTTCCCTATGATAAAAAGCTTATTTCCATATTCACAATCATACTTTCATACTAATATTATAAATATGAAAGTTTAGACGGCTGAACGAATTTCGATAAAATTTTGGTATAGTCTAGAAAAAACATAGAGTACTCATTTTTGCTTTTTTTTAATTCCACGCTAGGCAAAAGCTAGTGTTTCAGTAAAGAAAACATTAATAATATTCAATAACTTTTATTCGATTAAAAAAATAACAACTTATATAAATATTCGCTTTGCTTACAAGTTTTAGCGCCAATAATAAAACAAAATATCTTTGAAAAAATATTTTGGTTATAACAATGAGTTTTTACTGCAGAAACTTCTGTATAAAAGTTATACTTTGGTAGCTAAGTCTATCCAGAGATAAAAATATTTTACGTACGTGATTTAGCAGTGAAAACCCACGGTTATCTGAAGTAGACAAAGATCTTCAAACAAAAAACTGTTAAGTAATTTCTTTCTCGATATTTAAAAACTGCTTTTGTTTATAACAATTAATAAATTTAATAACAAACAATGAAAGAATGGTAATTTTCAACAATGTAATGAAATTGTAATATTGATATTCAATTTATTATTGACAATTACAAGCAACAATTTACTACTTAGATGCAAATAACTAAATATAGTACATAAGTAGATTATGTCTGAATAAATTTACACAAAGACAAACATTTTAACAGAAGGAAAATTAAATCATTGCAGTACATATTATGCATGTTTTAAATAGTGATAAATTATTCGAACAAATAAGCCCCATTGTTTATCGAAAATTGTATTTTCGCAATTCATCGAAAATGAGATATCTAAACACCAAAACCCGCTACAGATTCACAGATCTGACTAAGCAAAACTTTAACTGCACAGTTCAACTGACAGTTAAAATTTTGCCTACATGCACATTTTTAACTGAATAGTTAGATGGTTCAGTTACTGTCAGAATCTGAGCATCTGTAATTTTTACTTAGTCAAGAATATTCAGAAAAAAGTGAAGCTAAAATCCTTTCATACAATTTTACTGTGAATTTAGGTGGATGGAATTAATTATTTGTTTCATAACATATCTACAATTTTTTTATCTATTAAAACAATTTAAATAGTTTAGTGTAGAAGTGTGCGCAAACATTTGACAAAATTATCGCACAACTGTTTGGTCTCGCATTGATTCATATGAGCTTAGATAGAGGGGCTACTCGATTTTTAGTTGTGCAACTAAACAGTTGAATTGGCTGCGAAACAATCGACAATCGCACAAATATTGTGCGATAGTTTAGTCAAAGGTGTGCCCGCTCTAACAAGAAAAGTTGTTTTGTATTGTACAATTGTTACAATAGTTCTTCATAATTCATGGATTTTTATTACGCAAAGATGTTAAAACAATATCTTATTTTGTATTTCATGCATAACAAAAGGAATGTTTTCAATAATCTTACCTTGATAGGGGCTTAAAAAATTGAACAAAGATTTTCATATAAGTATCTCAACCAAAGCATACATAACACTAATTATAAAAAAAAACATAAACACTGCAATTTGATAACCTAACTATTAAAACATTCATGTATCTTGCGCACTACTGGAGCTAACGTTACGCGTCCGTTTACCAATGGCCGATTTCTTACGTTTACGTTCACTATCGTCTTCACTGACACTATTGCACCTCGGCTTTGGACTATTCACATCACATATCGAATCCCTTTGAGATTTCTTCCTTTGACGTTTGCTTAAATTCTCTCCTAACAATGTCTCATTAAATTGTCGCTGTCTCGCTTCCCAGTATGTATTTTGACGTAGCACTATATCACTGTATTTCACTTCGAAGGCTGTGTCCGGAGGTAAGAGTAACTCCCACCCCATGTGCGGTGTGAACTTAGCCACGGAACGCAATATATCCAGCACGTCGTTTGCGGGCAGACGCACCGCCGCTGTCACTTTACGTCTGTCCACATAAGTGTGTTGTGTAAACAGATATAACTGAAACAAACAAACAATTAAGTTATCTTCAACAATATGATATACTTAAACAATAACTATTGGTTATCTTTTGGCTTGACAGTAGAGGAGCATCTCTCCTTTTGAGCTGTAGAAAAAAAATATTATATGGAAATAGTGGCATTTTTTCACTAAAGCCTTTAATTTAAAAAAAATAATAAGACATTGAAACATCTACTCAAGCATCAATAAAATTGTCTATGATTGACATAGTTAAACAAAACTATTGCCTTATAAAAAAAAAGTGTCCATGGTTGGCATCACAAGACAAAACCTTCGCCTCATGAATTAAAAAAAATACCTAGTTGGCATAACGAGACAAAACTTTTGCCTCATAAAAAACAAATGTACTCGAATGGCATAACAAGAGAAAACTTTTCTTCATTAAAACACTAGTTTGTAGTTGGCATTACGAAACACAATATTGCCTTATAAAAAAAAACTGGCTGGCAAGACTGTCTTATAAAAAAACCTACCACATGATCTCTGGCCGCACACATGAGGTGCGGCGGCGCGGGCGCGGGCCGCGTGTACAGGTCGGCGGAGCGCGGCGCCCACAGGCCGCGCACGCAGCACGCCGCGCCGCACAGCGCGCTCAGCACGCCCGCCTCGCTCGCCTCGCACACCGCACTGCCGTCCTCGTTGCGGAGCCGCCCGCGCAGCTCCGCAAATGTCATCAGTTTGGCTGACAGATTAAACAAACACTTTTGTTTCTAGTATACATACATTATTAAACACCCAACTTTGGTCACTTCTTACTACCCTACTAAACACACACACTGTTTTTGTTGTTATTGGTGGGGAGGGATCATCAAAAGCATGCCTTCTGAGAAACCTTATTTAGGGCCGTAACCATAAGATTTCCTATGGTCGTACGTAATATTTTTTAATTTTTTCTTTATTACACAAAAAAAAAGTTCCATTATCTTCAAAAAACATACCAGAACAAACAACTTCCTATACTGTAAATTGGCTAATACGTTTAAAAAAGATTTCCACAAAATACCTGTATTTAAATAAAGTTAGCTATAAACAAAAAAATTCACAGATTATCTTAAAAAATGAAACATAAAAAGCAAGAGAAACAATTCCTATTAATATTTTGTCATTAGTAGTAGTGATAATAAGTGTAAATCTCACCGGTGATGAGTATGTGCTTGATCTGTTCGTGCAGGGAGCGGCGCTGCGCGCGCTGCGCACCGGCCTCGTCGGGCGGCGCGGCGGGCACCAGCGCGCGCACGTACTCGCCGTGCGGCAGCCGCAGCGCGCTGCCCTCCGCACTCACCGCGCTGAACAACTTCAGACGCTCCAACTGAACATACATAACACATTTTAACATTGATAGAGCCCTGATAGCATCGCACGAATAGGTCGGCTCGCCTGGTGAATACGACCATACATAAAACAGGCGTGAAATGGAAGTAATTCTGCGTAAAGTCTGATGAATGTGGTGCCGGAAGCCCTAATTTAGTCCCTTTTCCTTCCAACCTTCTTTCTTATAAGAAAAGGATGGGAGAGGAACGTAGACTTAACGCTGGAGGAGACGCATAGGAAGGGGATATATCCTTTTATGTGCGTTTCCTCCTCCGTCGATTAAGGGTAGGTAATGCATCCACTATTACAAATTTCTATGGGCAGCGGTTTGCTCATTTGCCACCTTATGATATTTAAAAAAAAACACAAATTACCATCACTATGATTTCTTGTTTTGACGGGACTGACAGACTGTAATTAAACTGTTTAAACTTTTGTAAGACATCATAAACGAATTAAAGACGACTTAACGCATTTAATTAGAAATCCAGCCTTAAAAATTGAGATATTATGTGCATTCAAAAAAAAATTAACAATAAATGTTCTGTAGAAGAATTTTGTAGAAAACAATAATTCTATAAATATAGTACTTACTTCAGCTTGATCACTATTAGAAGGTTTCCACAGTCCGTCATACCATGGCTCATTTAAGATACGTTGCGATATTGTCTCATAAGACTTTTCACGCGCCTTCTTTGAAATCTCCGTTTCTTGTCGGGCAAATTTTACTGTCACCTTTAAAATAAATTGTTATAAAATTAACTAAGGTAACTTTAGAACTTGAAATTTAAAAGAAAATGTAACCTTTACTTTTATACTAATATTATAAAGGGGAAAGATTTGTACAGCTGGTATAACATACCTGTTGAATATCTGGTTCTTTCTCCTCATCCTCAGAATTGTCTGCCTTATTTTTGTCATGTTTTTGTTTATCTTGCTTATCATAGAATGAACAAGATGGCCTAAGTTGAACAATACCTGTGTAAAAAAATTCAATTTAGCACATGAGAACAAATAAAGAGGGTGAAAATCATTTTATATTCAACACAAATATGATTTTCACTTATTATAGTGAACTGAGAGACAAAAGAGTTTATTTTTTAACTAGCTGTTTCTCGCGACTTCGCCCGCGTGAACTTAAAAAAATAATAAAAAATGTAGCCTATGTTACTCGCAGATAAATTACCTTTCAAAAGGTGTAAGAATTTTTTAAATGGGCCTATTAGTTTTTGAGTTATGTCAATACATACAAAAATACAAATCTTTCCTCTTTATAATAATAGTATAGATTTATAGATGTACTCATATAAGTACCATTGAGAAAATGTATCCTAATAACAGGTTTACACAACATTAGTACAAAGTAAAATATGAAATAACCCAAAAACTACTGGGCTGATTTCAAAAATTCTATCACCATTGATAAGCTACATTATCACTGAGTAACATAAGCTATGTTTATTACATTTTTTATTTCCGCATAGACGAAGATGTGAGCAACAGCTAGTTAGGTGTTATTTCCACATACCTTTCACAGGTGTACAATGAAGTTCTTTGTCCTGTAACAATGCTACTGCATACTGATCTGTTTTAAAACATGGCACACTGCTCTCCAGAACTATCTTGTCCATGATGCCATTTTTGAAATATTGAGATTTCTCTCGTTCCTTATCTTTTATATACCTTGATTCCTGTGGATTGAATATGATGCATTAGTAGACATTTTTAATACTTTCTTATTTGTATTTATCACATTAATTAAGTTATCTAGAAATACAGAAAGGAGAATAAGCACTCACAGCCCTAAATTCTTTTTTTTTTTCACATCACATATAAAAAGTTCTAAAACTTATGTGCTCACCAAGAAAAGTTCTACTGTAAACCTACTCCAGGAGTGATAAACATTTATGCATCAAAGTGGCATTTTTTATAGAAATGTTTAATGTGGTCTTTGACGTGCCATTGAATAATTTTGACTGTGTTTATTGTCAATTCCATGGTGTATCTAATTCATAATTTTTGTCATGCGCACAATATTATATCGCCATTTTAAACACGCGTGTAAATGGTTCGACATCTCTGACTTAGTCATTTTTGAAAAATAAATAAAAAAAGAGTATGTACTTTACCTGTTGGCCATCTGTATTCAGAGCGATTTGTTCACCTTTAGAAGGGCAATATTTATCACTATAAGTGTCAAGACCTACTTCAAGCCGCACTATTTTATTTTTAGGCTTTATAGATGCATTCTTCACTAATATATCCTTCACATCCCGATTTGCGGGCCTCACGGGATATTGAAAGATGTAGAAATTTTCTGCCAACGCTTGTGATAAGAACACCGGTATCTAGACAAAACAAAGTACAGGTGAACATTTATTAATTTTGATCAAATTGAAAACAACATAACCTATACACGTTACAAATTATTATTTTATTTCAACTTTACCTCTTGCACCACGGGGTCGTCTTCTTCCATTATATGGATTGTTTACGAATATACTGCTATAAAACAATCATATCAATAAATTTAAACTAAATCGAGTTAAAATCACGCTACAGTTCATCAAAGATCATTTCGTATCTGTCAATGTCATTGCATTTAACAGTTATCTGTCACTGCAATTTACTTTTTTTATTCGTTTAGAAATCAACAGACCATAGAGAAATACAAATAAATAAAAAATAGGTCCTAACAGGTTCGAATTTGGGAGTCAACTTTCGAATGAAAGGAAATAAAAAAGCGTTTAAGTCTTCAAACAAATTTATTGCATACCAAATACAATAAAGCACGTATATATCAATTTATTTTGAAATCAGGCGTCTTTGAACTGGCTTGAAAATATATTAATATGTATAAATATGAATAAAACATTATTGATGTTGATTGACTTGCAAGTGCCAATTATAATGACATTAATTTTGCACTTAAATATGCATTCATACAATGAAAATAGTTATTAAACATTAAGTAGACTGCGTAGTTTTGTTGTTTTTATTGTTGGCTTTTACTTTATTTTATAAACCAAAAATGTCGGACATGATAATAAATGGTAAGGAACTTAAACGTTACATGTGTGTGAATGTGGACTGAGATTCTAACATATTGGTTAATTATTTATGTATATTTTAACAGACAGCGTTCCAGTGGATAAGAAATGGAATGAATTAATAAAATATAATATATTTATTATGAAATTAATAGAATTTGTAAGTAAATTTTATGGCCCATTTCTTAAATTACAATGTAGGCAAATCTGTATCATCTGGCAAATAGTCACAGTAGTCATAATATGTATATGTTGCGTAGAAATGTATCTATTAGAAACGGAGTAAACATTTAAGGTCACACATACTATTTAAGGTCATCATCATCATTTACGTTGTAGATGGTGTTGTATTAAAAAAAACTGCTTTGCTATTCACATTTCATCGGCTATTGCTGTATGATTTAAAGTATTTATACTTCATTTAATTAGTTTGTTCGCGTTAAATATGATTATTCGTTTTAGGGATTTGCTCTCACAATTCTGCTTTTACCGTTAATGATTCCAAAGCCCAACGGTCATATGTACTGCATATCTACTGGTCCTACGCTCATAATATCTCTTTTATTTATTATACTGTACCTGCGAAGACAAGTGCCATTATTTATGGAAAAAATGTACTTATTTTTTCAAATATTATTTACCTTCGGAGCATTCATACAATGTTTTCTATTAAATCTTAGTAGAATTTGGTTGTGGCTAATTTATGGTTTATTTTATTTCGCTTTGTTAACAGCGTTAGCGCTGGATTTATATTTAATTGCAAACGAAAGAGGGTGTACTTTTAGTTGTGCCTGAATTATTTTATTACAAAAACCCTAAAGTAAGTTAACATGAACTCATTCCTATCATGTACTGATGTACTGCTTTAAGATTATTTGTTCCCTTTAACAACATGTGTAATAAATGTTACTTAAACATAAAAATATATTGTATTTTACTTTTAAAATTAGGACTTTTAACACCACGAAAGAAATTGACACAAAACAGTAAGCCGACATAGAATATTATTATACTTAATTAGAAGATATTAATTCAAACATATATTTTTTTGTTTATTAAAACGCCACGATCGTGTGGAAAAGCAAATAATTATCATCAAAAGTACAAAAATTATGACCACGGTTTGCATAATGACGGAAGTTTTAAACGATGATGCAAATGTCATTAATTAAGAAAATCAAATATTGAAAACATAACCTGTAAAGTGAAATATTTACCTTTTGGGTTGTCTGTCATTTTGTTAATTATAAGATTAATTATATGCTGCTTTAAAGGTTGCAATATTACGTAAATATGTAGGTAAATTCAACAAACTTTTCTATTTTCGGTAAATCAATGCGGTATAATCAATTTGACATATCCCAATATAGCCTTTATAAATATTCACCTATTTGTTATGAATGTGATTAAGTACATTACAAAAATTACATTATTAATTTCTATGTTACCCTAACACTGTACTAAGTAGAGGTGGTTTATTTTTAGGTTATATCTATGATCCTCCTGACCCTACCTTTTGCTCTGCCCGCGCCAGAGATATTCCACTGCTTGGCGGCTGCTCCGACACTTATGCTATCATTTATGTTCATCATTTTATATTTAGTGGACCAACATCAAAGTGTAGTGGAACAATTGTACTTGGCATCACAAATTACGTTAAATTTATTTGCGATACTACAAGCTACTATACTAACAGGTTTCACGGGCTCGTACTACGGATTAATGTACTTTCATCTTTTCCTTGCACTTTGTATTGATATGTACTACAATTATAATGAGCGTGGATGTTTAATTTTTACGAAACCCAAAAAAGTTATAATTTAGTTAATAAATTATATTTTAAGAGTAGTAGTATTATTGAATAGATTTTAATAAACATAATAAATATATTTACTACTACTTATTAAATTAAAATTATAATAAATAACTTTTTAAGTTGAAAACAATACATTTTTAGTTGATACCCATCCAACCTAACCAAGTAAAGACTTATAAACCTATGAAAGTCGAAATCTAATTTTTAATTTACATTATTACATTAAGGAAGATAAAAAAACATTTTATTGAAGTATAATTAATTGTTTTAGGGACTTGCCCTTCTCCTCTGTATTATGCCCAATATTGTGGATCCCGTTGATTCATTTTACTGTCTGGCGTCAGCCCCGACTCTTATGATATCATTTCATCTAATTGTGCTTTATGTGGTGGACCAAGTACAACCTGAAGCTGAATTCTATTACCTTGTTATACAGTTGTTAATAACTACATTGGCATTATTAGATCTTATATTTGTTGGAAGATTGATTGGAGCAGTCTATGGATTGTTTTATGTTGATTTAATAATTGCATTTATCATGGATTTGAATTACATACGGAAACAATGTGGTTTTAGATATTAATATTTCTCTATTTGGAATGCTGTGATAATATGCTAGTGATTGTGAAGAGGAAATTGTCCTATCAACAAACAGTATTCAGAGATTGAACAATGTACACCCAGAATGGTAAAAGATACTGCATAGTTCATGTAATGCATTTTGTTAAAATATTTGTGAAAAGAATATGGAGAAAATGTAGACTAAATTTATTTCAATTATTATTGATTACTGTGTTAATAATTATATTTACATTATGGATGTGTAATAGTGAAATAGTTGAAGAAAATAAACACAATCCCGTGATTTTATGGTGGACAGCAAGTTTTCCTGGCACATCGGAAACAAGATACTGCTCTAATGGAATAAAATGTGACGTTTTTAGTAACAGAAATTTTAGTGATGTGTACAATGTAGAGGCAAATTTATTTTATGCCAGTAATATTAAATTTGATGATTTACCACCTCGGCGACCCAAGGAGGTTTTATGGGGACTATATCATGAGGAATCACCTAGAAATGTTGAAGAGTTAATGCATGAAGATGTTTTAAGCTTGTTTAATTTCTCATCGACTTTTAGTCGTTTTAGTGATGTACCATTTCCTTTGCAATATTTAAATACGTTTGATGATATTACTAATTTAAAATATTTTATACCAACTTTGGAAAAAAATAAATATTTAAAAGAAATTTCTCAAGTGATGTATCTACAGTCGGATTGTGAAACTTCAACTGAAAGAGATGTTTACGTTAAGGAGTTGATGAAATATGTTGATATTGATTCCTATGGCACATGTTTGAATAATAAAAAACTTCCAATAAAATTCACAGAAGACTATTTGAATAAATTGCATGACGATGATTTTCTACGGTTTATCGCGAGATATAAATTTGTAATCGCTATAGAAAATGGTATATGCAATGATTACGTTACTGAGAAATTTTGGCGTGCAATTAAAGTTGGTACAGTCCCTATTTACTTTGGATCCCCATTGATTAAGGATTGGTTTCCTAATAACAGATCAGCTATACTTTTAGAAGACTACCCTACACCTGAAATTCTGAGTAAATACATCACTAAACTAATGAATAATGACACTTTATATGAGTCATACTTGGAACATAAAACCAAAAGGCTTGTATCTAATGCAAAACTTTTGAATGAGATAAAAAATAGACCATACCAAATAGATGCATTGAAAACCGCTTCAGTATTCGAATGTTACGTGTGTGAAAAGTTACATCAAATGAGAAAAGGAGAATTGAAACAAAGTATTATCAACAGAAACCATTATGATTGCCCAAAACCGTTGTCAGCACTTACGTTACAAGTGAATCCTTTGAATTCTTGGGCGTATTCATATGAGACTGCGAAACAGAATGCAGCTTCGATACGTAAAAAAGTCATGACTGTTGATTAGATATATACAATTTATTTTTTTAATATATTTTTTTACAATTTCTTATCGATTTGTTTGTTTTTCTCATTGACATACGGCATCTAATGGTGTTACTGGATGAACCTGATAGCCGAGTCCTCTTTTGATTATGTGTGGAATATTTTTAGGCACCATTCTGTAAAATGCATATAAATTTAAATGTATACTCAGTTTAATTCAGTAACCATCACTATACAAAGTAGTTAATTCTTTACCAGGTTAATGAAATTGTGTAACATAGCTGTTGCTCGCGACTTCGCCCGCATGATAGTAAAAAATATAGCCTATGTTACTCAGTGATAGCTTTTTAATGGCGCAAGAATTTTGGAAGTCGATCCTGTAGTTTTTGAGTTATTTCAATACATACAAAAATCCAACAATCAAATCTTTCCTCTTTATAATATTAGTATAGATGTATTGTCTTCTATATTTAAAAATTATCAGTAAATATACTCACGTAATGCAATCTATAATGGGGCAGACAGAGAGACACAGTGTGCAGCCAGTGCAGTCGTCCGTCACGTGTGGAATGTGGGTCTCTGGGTCGAAACTAAATAGACCAAAAAGATTAAAATGAATTTTACAATAAAATAAATAAATAAATCGCGTATTAGTTTTTACCCTCTCAGTACTTATTGAAAATTTACAAATATACGTTCCTATTACTATAATATTAAGAACACACAATCGAAAGTTCCATTGCCAATACTTCTCTTCTTCTTGTCCCTTTCCCTTTGAAATAGCAGAGATGCAACAAGTTTCTGTGTAGTGTTTCGGCAGTGGAAACACGCTCAACAAAATTAAAATAACTAAACTTACTCAATAGCTTGATATCCAGAGTCCGCACACGCCATATAACATTTTCCACAGTTTATGCACATGTCCTGGAAATAATATAACTATGAAATACTAGATTTTATATGAAATACACAACTCCCTAGAATTAAAAAGCAAAAGTAAGTAGCCTATGTGTTCTTCCAGACTATCCTCTACATCTATGCCAAAGTTCCTTTGTGTTCCTGCCGCTCGTTTGCCCCCTTCTCATATAAAAAAAAAGTTCATCGAGATCCGTTCAGCCGTTTAGGCTACAAACTCTTACAAACATCCATCCATCTAAACTTTCGCATTTACAATATTAGTAAGATATGAAAAATTACTGTTAAGAGCGGGCACACCTTTGACTAAACTATCGCACAACTGTTGTGCGATTGTCGATTGTTTCGCAACTCAACTGTTTAGTTGCACAACCAAAAATCGAGTAGTATACGCATTCCATATAGTTTTATCAAAAGTGTACGCGCGCCCTAAATGAGGTTTGCAGCAATTTTATTGTAATATCACTTTTGTCATGTATAAAAGCGTACACTAAGTGTGACGTCATTGTTCACAAATTTTATTTTCCATACTTAGTACTTACATCATCAATAAGAGCGACAACTTGTTTGGTATTATCCAATTTCTTGTAAGGACCAATCCTGGGTAAAGCTTCGCCTAAAATATCTTTTATTTTCGGTACCGCATAACCGTCAGTTGTACCATTTTTATTGTATATCAAATCGCAATTTGCGTCTCCATTAGTTAAGTCTGATTTTTGACGGATTGTTTTAAGCAACTCCTCTCGCTTCTTTTTGTAAGGTCCAAAGTGACCTAGCACCTGAAATCAATATTAGTTTAATGGCTTAGTTGTTCTAGTTTACTAGCTCAAAAGACCAAAATGTATAATGGTTGTTTCAATTGCTTTTAATTGATATTGTGGACTTCTAAATTGCAATGAATCATACAGTTTATATGCACAGGGGACAAAGGGCTATAATAGCCGGGAAAATGTATTATTAAACAAGACAATTACAGTCCGAAAAAGACTTTATGGTACTTTTTGACATTGACCTAGGATACATATGAGCTATATACCTTTCCATTATCCATGAGCGTCTGCACAGGCTTTCCTTTCTGGTGTTTGTTGGTGGGCGGCGACTGGCCAGTCCATCCGTCCAAGCCGAGCGACCGCAAGTACAACAACGCTTTGAGACCAGTTATGTAGTCCTCTACCACGGTGAAATCTTGGTTCTGAACCGCACTGCATATCTAAAGAACAAAATTACTGCATGATTGAAATAAGTTGAAATATAAAACTTCGTTTCTTGTTCTACTCTAAGACTAAAAAAATATGTTATACTAGCCTACTAGACTCCGTCCGCGGGGAATGAAAAAAAAACAAAAGTGCGTAGCCTATGTGTTCTCCAGACTATTCTCTACATCTATACCAAATTTTATCGAAATAAGTTCAGCCGTTAAGGCTACAAACTCTAACAAACATCCATCCATCTAAACTTTTCCATTTATAATTTTAGTATGAAGTATGATATACAGAAGAAGCTCGATAACTCAAACCTCGGTAACATAAAAACCTCTAATTTCAAAATTTCAAAATAATAAGTTCCCTTCCCACCAGAGCCCAAAACCTCTACAACATAGACCCTTGATAACTTAAAACCTCAACTTAATATTTTGTGTTTCCCTTAGACTTTAACTTATTGAGGTTCTACTGTAGTAATAAATTTAATCAATAATATTGTCGATTTATAAAATGCAAAACTAAAGTTTTAAAATGAACGTAAACCATAAACGGAAATATTTTTATTTTTAAACTGTTTGAAGGTATTTATCAAACTTTTATCCTGTCTATCAAACCGAAAAATGTCAAAAGCACAGATTATACACTAGTATTAATATTACCTGTACGACGGGCGCTCCGCACAATATGAACTGCAAGGCGGAGTCCGCGGAGTCGATGCCGCCGATGCCCAGTATGGGGAAGTCCGGCAGCTTGTTGGCGACGGCGGACACGGCGCGCAGCCCCAGCGGCCGCGTCGCGCCGCCCGACACGCCGCCGTACGTCGTCGACTTCGTGCTGCCTGCGTACACCACTTTTAAACTATCGCCTTACATATACTAATATAATAAAGTTTAAACAAACTACTTCGAGTAGGATGTCAGCAATCACAATATATTTTTGAATAATTCTTTCTTTTATAAAAAAGCCCAACACTTACGGCATGCTTTAGGCTATATATTTTCACGCTATTAGAGGTAAATAAAAAAAAACTTTATATGAGAAAGGGACCATAAACTGCAAGCTGTCATCAAGAAAGCAAGGTTGCCATGGTAACAGTAATTGTAATCCAATGTCAAAAGCCTTCGTTGTAATTTTACTACTTACCCACAGCCGGCCACGGCGTGGCGTTAGCGGTAACAGACATCAGTCCAGACACGGTGTTGATTGCTGAAACTCCATCCGCACCACCTTTGAAATAAAATTAAAAAGTTAGAAATGATAACCTAAAAATTTAACTATCATATTAACTTTGTTAGAGTTTGTAACCTGAACTGCTGAACGGATCGCGATGAAATTTGGCATAAATGTAGAATATACTCTAGAAGCCATTTTTTTAATTCCACACGGACGGAGTCGCGGGCGACAGCTAGTCAATTACATTTTTGAGCTTACGGTTTCCGTGTTAGAGATATGTTTCATATGTTTTTAAATAGTACGGTGTTATTTAAACTATATCATACGTACCTTCATAAGCCGCCATTGCAATGCTGACAATATCCGTGATGTTTGGAGTTAACTTGATAAAGAAAGGAATATTAATCGCTTTTCTGACCCATTGGGAAATTCCTTTTACGAGAACTGGATCCTGGAAAACATATATGACAATTATTATAAAAAACTACTTAATTACATTTTTTCGTTTATCACATTTATTAGCTCACGCTTTTTAATTTAGGGGGTGAATAATTTGATAAAAATGTCATGCTAGAAAGGGACAAAACTACAATCCAATAGCAGTAAAGTAGTAAGATTGTCGTAGTAACGGTTATTGTTACCCAATACTATACTATCGTACAACTGTTTTGTTTAAGATGTGCGCATGTTTTAAAATTCATTGTTATTTGTGTATTAGAATTATGACAATTGAAATGTAGTATATGATACCTGACCGCAGGCCAGGCCCATGCCCGACTCGCCCATGCCGTGCGGACACGACAGGTTGAGCTCCAGCGCGTCCGCGCCCGCCGCCGCCGCGCGCCGCGACAGCTGCCGCCAGTCCTCCTCCTGGTACGAGCACATTATAGACGCTATCACCACCTGAAATGTATCATTTACTGGCTATTGCTCGCGACTTTGTCCACTTTAAATGAAAAAAAAAAACAAAAGTGAGTAGCCTGTTTTTCCAGACTATCTTCTACAACAAATTTCATCAAAATCTGTTAAGCCGTTTCGGCTACAAACAATCATCAACTCGTACGTATTTACATTAATAAAATTTTATATCAAAAAACATTTTCCTGTATACTTACTTTATTAGGGAAATCCCTTTTAAGTTCTGCAATACTCTGACACCAGTAAGCTTCGCACTTCTCCGAGATCAGTTCAATATTAAGGAAGGAGCCTTGGCCCGGGCCGTAGTTCTCTCCCGAGGTCACGCCGCGGACTATTCGCGGGGACACGTTGGTCACCAGATCCTGGAAACATGCGTAAATTATATTGAAATATATGTAAAACCAGCTTTCGCCCGCGACTCCGTCCGCGTGGAATTAAGAAAAGAGTGAGTACCCTATGAGTTCTTCCATGCTCTGTTCAGCAATTTAAGCTACAAACTCTTATAAACACCTATCCATCCATCTAATTAGTGTCTGATTGGTATAAATGGTTTATTAAGCATTAATATTACAGAGTCTATAAAAATATAAAGACAAGTCGCCGTCGTTATTTTTCGGTCTTGACATATGCTAGTGTTGCCAGTGTCTCTCTCGCGAATATCACTAAAAAGGTTTATTATAGTTTACCTTATCAAGTCCGAACGTCTTAGTAACTGCGAAGCCCCAGCCCTGCTGGAAGGCGCGGCGGATCATCGCCGAGCTGGTGGTGGGCGGCGCGCTCGCCAGACCGAACGGGTTCTCGAACTTTATGCCGCAGACTTCCACTGACAGATCTACGTCGTCGATAGGACAGTGGAACTTGGGGAGTTCCACTGGTGAATCGAATGGAATACCCTGAAATATTTATTTAGAGACTTAAAAAGTATCTACAATTTTAAGTCGAACCTTTTATTATAGACTAGCTGTTGCTCGCAACTTCAACCACGTGAAATTAAAAATCGTAAAAATACAGAGCCTATGTTAGTCAGTAATAACGTGGCTTTTTAATGGTGATTTTTGTAATAGGACCAATGGTTTTTGAATTATTTCAATACATACAAATATCCAAAAACAAATCTTTCCTTTTATAATCGTACTAATCTTACTTAATACCATAAATGCGAAAATTTAGATGGATAGATGGATGGATGTTTTTTAGAGTTTGTAGCCTAAACTGCTGAACGGATCTCGATGAAATTTGACATACACGTAAAAGATAGTCTGAAAGAACACATAGGCTACTCACTTTTGTTTTTTTAATACCACCCGGACGGAGTCGCGGGCGAAAGCTAGTATTAGTATGAAGAATATGAAATCAAGTTTATGACGTCACATTATACATTAGTATTTGAAATTTACTTGCATGCAATTGCAAACGCGCGCAGCGTTGTCTCTATAATTATAGTTTTGTCAGTTTCTGTATTGCTACTAACCTGTAAATAACAATGCATATACCAGGCGGCGGTCTTGCCATCATTAACAGATTCCACTGTGGTCTCCGCCACTCCGGCGAGATCTCCGCCAACGAACACTTTCGCATTACTGACGCTCTGCATTGTGCTACTGTCGACTTCAGGTAACCCCCAGCGGTTCAATTTCACACCACACATTGCGTCTTTTACTAAAATATTAATTTATTTAGTTTAACTGTACATTGTATTGTATAGCAACTGTAATGGGGATGTTTCCTAATATTAAAAAATCAAACATGGTTATGTTTAATTTTTTTTAAAACACGTAACAAAATTTAGAGACCTTATATGTTTGTCTCAATTTAAATTTAAACAAAAAACTCTGCATCATTTTTACTCGATCTCAAACACCAATCAGAGCTCGGTGACGTCACTACTTCGTAAACAGTAAGGCAGTGTGGCCAGCTTCAGTGAGTGTTAGTGCATTTAGTAGTTAGAAACAATGACACAACACGCTCATTGGTTTTAAGTTTTAAACAAAAACATAACCTCAAAATGTAAAAATGTTTAAAAACAATATAATCATTTTGTAGGGTGAGGTGTGTGTGGGCATTATTTTCATTGCTTAATTGTTTTTTTTTTTTAATTCAAGTAGTACATATACAGATAAATTAAATTACCATCGGTATCGTACAGTCCTGAGCCAAACGCAGATATAATAAAGTTAGCCTTCAGTTGTATGACTTGATCTTTGTCTTCAATCCAGTCACCATTCTCGAGTTGTTCAGTGCGACACATTTTTAAACCTGCGATCTGTTGAACACAATAATATATTAAACTGGCAACCCTATACCATAGACAAGTTCATCGACAACTTGATTTACCTTTCCATCTTTGACTATCACCTCTTGAGGAGACATGAACGGCATAAATTCACATTTCTCTTCTTTCGCTAAATCGACCTGTGGAATAATTGAGATTTTTGAAATAACATAAAATTGAATTTGGAATTTCCAGACAATACATGAGTGTCATAAAAGCAAATAATATTCAGTCCAAATTTTGATTTTTTAAACAAGCACGCAACAAATTGGTATGCCTAGTTTAAAAAATATAAAATTTAACATTTTTATTACGTACATATTTTACATATTTGTTATTAGATCTCTCAAATAAAAGTCAATATTAACAAGTAATTTTATTTAATACTAGCTTACTAGGTGTTGCTCTCAACATCGTCCGTGTACAATTTAAAAAATATAGCCTAAGTTACTCACAGATAAATTACCTTTCTAAATTTAAAATCAACTCAGTAGTTTTAAGTAATGTCAATGCATACAAAAATACAAAACTTAAATCTTTATAATATCAGTATAGAAAATTGTATTACCTCTTCAGGTACCGCGCGTATGTTAGAAAACCCTTTACGGAAGGCGACGAAGACTCTCCTCGCGCCGCAGCGCAGCGCGGACGTGGCGCAGTCGAAGGCCGTGTCGCCCGCGCCCAGCACCACCACCGCGCCCTGCAGCTGCGGCAGACTGGCCGCACACGCACACATACCTAGCCCAAACAACACTACATAAATAACCAAAATATCATTAAAATAATAACAGTAATCAGATAGCAGCAACCGATATAGCCGAGGTCCGGTCCTCTCGGGCACCCTAGATTCGGAATTGCTTAACGCGTATTGAGTGACAGCCTAAGCAGAAGTCCCCTCTCGGGGACCTTGTGCCTAGTAATTACGTAGAACGACCACCGAAGCGATCTAAGAGCTCGGCGGCATCCCAATCCGGCAATAATAACGAAGTAACGGCCCGTGCCCAGGTTCCCGAGGGAAGGTAAACCTCTTATACTGAAGAAAAGTAAATCACCGATTCGCACAATCAATTGAAGCCAATGCTATAAAAGATCATAGACAAAAATTCGCGTAGTGAAATATTGTAATTGTAAATCGAATAATTTACAGTGTGGAAAATACTGAAATGGCAACACTAAAGTTAATTGATTACAATAATATGTCAACTAACCTTTCTTGCTTCCTTGTGATACCAACGGTAAAAAGTCTTTGCTAGTATAAAATCCCATTTGTTGTGTGAGACCTTTGAAAATCGGAACGGTTGTCGGCTCTGGCAAGCCGATACCGAGGAATACCGCCGCATGGCCGCTTTGTAGAAGACCCTGCAATTTGTAATTGATTCTAATTTTTTTGAACATCGAACTAACAGAATTTTAGAGTTCCAACAAGTTCTAAGTATAGTATATATGTGATTTTCACTTACATCAATAGTTATATCATCTGTGGCAAGCTTCCTTCCTGTCACAAACTTCACTCCTAAGTCTTTGACGAGACTCACTTCATATTGTACCACGTCATAGGGCAGACGATACTGTGGTATCTCCGATGAACTATAAAAAAAATCGCTAAATCAGTACAATTTTAATAAAATTTCAAAGACGCATTACATTCTACATTTTTTAACATGAAAAAGAAGAATGAATTGCTGAATGTTTAGTTAGAGCAAACATACCTTAGTCCTCCTAAGTATTTCTCTTTTTCATAAACAGTAAGGTTCTTATAACCAAGTCTAGCCAGAAAGCATGCGCAACTAATGCTGGCAGGACCGCCTCCAATCAGAGCTATCTTCTGGTCACCACCCTTCGGCAGTGGCTTTGTGTTAGGGTCCAATGTCTGGCGGATACCCATCCTCATAAAGATCTGTAAATTATTTTGTTCCGGTTGAAGATTGATTTAGTGAGAGTGTTTAAATTACTTTGACTTCTAGCCAAGCCCATATTTAAACAATAATTCGTTAAAAATACTTTTAAATAACGGATGTCGATGTGACAGATGTATCTATGGTAACCATAAACAAGAGACTCACGTCAACAGCGAAGTGTTGCAAGCCGCCAATATTGATGGCGCCCTCCTCGCTGGCGTGCAAGTTGCAGCCGCCCACACAGAGGTCGCTGGTGGGGCACACCATGCCGCATGTTAGCCCCAACGGATTGTCCGATAGAATGGCTTTCGCTGCACCGTAGTAATTCTAATAAAGTGTGAAAACATTTACAGAGCTCATACTATACTATTTAAAAACGATTAAATTAAGTAAGCGATTTTTTTGATCTTATAAAATTAATATAGAAACGTCTATCCATGTATGTAACTAACTGTCACAGAGTCGTTTAAGTCGTCACTAAGGGAGCCTGTTAGTGAAGATTTAGCCCAAGAAAATCAATCTTGGTTTATGCGAAGCTTGTGAAATAATGATAATTATTTAATATGGTAAATATCTGAGTAAATACCCTATTAGCGATGCTAGTAATGAAGCTCTTGACGTCTATCTGTGTTGGGCAGGACTTCTGGCAAGGCGCGTCCGCACACTTGAGGCAGCGCGCCGCCTCGCGCAACGCCCCGCGCTCCGACAGCGTTGTGTGTTTGATGTCTTCGAAATTATTCTCCAATGACGGACATGCCTATAACATAGATTAGATCAAGGACCTATTAAAAATACTAGTACTAGTACGTAAAGTAAAATTAAACACTACCGTCACGATATCAGAATAGCGGTGGGTAGTTTCAGAATTTCGAATTTACAGACAGCCTTGTTTAAAACATAAAATCTCACCGTGCACTTGCGATCGGCATTTCTTTTCCAATGCTGTTTATTCTTCTTAGTCTGAGCTGATGGTACCAGGTTGGTGTAGGGCTTCACGGTAGGGTTTAGTCTTAGCAAATTCTGAAAGAAATAGTAAATAAAAACTATCATTGACCAAGAGAAATCCACTGCTAAAAATAAAACATCTCTTCCCGTTATTTTTGCTGATATCTAGTGAACTTATAAGTTACACATTTGTGACGAAAATAAAGTCCTTTGAACAAAATATAGAATACTTGCTTTTGCTCACGACACCGTCCCCGCAGAATTAAAAAAAAACAATAGTAAGTAGACTACGTGTTCTTACAGATTATCTTCTGCAACTATGGCAAACATTGAGATCCGTTGAGCCGTTCCAGAGATACCTTCCAACATCCATGCATCCACCCATTTAGACTTTCACATTTATATTAGTAAAATTATAGGATATGCTGTTTGAAGATGTCATAAAAAATAAGTTCACTGCAACTTCATCTGGTTTTTACATCTAAAAGTGAACTGTTGTTTATTTAATGTTTTCGTGTATCGCTCGACGTTGGTATCAGAGATAACCTTTTATGAAATACTGTCGTTTTATTACGTTGCGCTGTCGATTGGGAGATAATAGAGACGTATTATTAAAAAGATATTTGTCTACACAGTCACACTACGTATTTGCAAATTAATTGTGTTAAACACACATAGTGACAGAAGTTTCGAAATTCAATGAAGTAATTTACGTTACAATGTTGGTACGTGCTTTATCATTTGAACAAATTGAAAATATTTATGTTACAAAATTATTGCTCAATGGTTGGCACATGTTTTCAAAACATGAAAGAAACAAAGCCTTTACTCGTAAGATTCAATGCATGTTAATCCTAAGAATTCTCAACGACATCCAAAGAAAAAGTACACAGGACAACACAGGATATTTGTTACTTTTATGACTTTCTGGCGTATTTATGATTTCCTTAGTATGGATTTATTATAAATCTCCATTAAAAGAATGCGAAAATAATTATGTACTATAGTTTATTTGAATTATTCCCACTCTATCGGGATTATCCACTATCTCCTTCGAAGACAAATCTCTTGACAGTTATCAAGTTTGCAGTATCGATAAACATATGTATTTTCTTATTAAAGCGATATTACGGCCTTGGTTGACTTGAAAGGCCGATCATTTATCTTTGACAAGTTGATCATGAAATACTTCGAACTCAATGAATATCTACAATATTATAACAAGATTTTTATGTTATGTTTGTAACGAATGAACTTAAAATCTGCTTGACATATTTCAAAAATTTATCCACCATTAGAATGTTATATTTTCCATGAATGACATGGGCTAATTAAATTATATGTAACATGCATTAAGAGATTTTTTTAAATCACCATCCACACGTGTGAAACCAGATTGAACTAATAGGTAAGTAATTAATGGTAATTACAATTTTATAGCAATTGATTGTTCAAAAGCATTTTCATCAATTAATAATTTACCATATAAATGGAACTATGAATATTCAATATATTTATATTTAGTAAAGCGTGAACATACACTTCTTTGTTATGTAGGGTGTCAACAATCATTTTATTTATAACTGTTTTAATTATTAAAACCCTTCACTTACTATATATCCACGTTATTTAATTTAGAGGCAAATAAATTCGAAAAAATGCCATGCGAGAAAGGAATAAAAACTACAATCCAAGCAGCAAAAAAGCAATATTGCCATAGCAACGATAAATGTCCAATGGCAAAAGACTTCGTCGTTAAAAGTTTTACAAATGTCAACAATAAAATAAAGTTTTCTAATTTCACACGGATGAAGACGCACGGGAACAGCTAGTAACAATACATAAGCAAAACAAATAAACTCGAACGCATACGCAATATCAGTATTTCACTGTTTTGTATCTTTCAAGGTTGTTAGTAAAACAAGATAAATTTGTTACGAAATTCCCGCGCAAAAATAATTCATCAATCTTACCTCAATATCCGGTAATTCTTGACTTAATACTTTCGCCATGTTTTTAAAATATTTTATAACCTCAAAATGTTTAAATTCGTTTATTGTTTATCGAATCAGTGGACTGCTCACTGGCAGCGCCACAAAACGACTAAATAGATTGTAAGACGATGTGAATGTAATCTTTTGTCCGTTGACCACTATAAATTGATCTCTATATATAGCGTAATTACTACGCACTATGCGATCGTTTCGAATATTCTATTCATAAGACTCATCAGTCTCATCAGTTACATTGTCATTTACGGAAGCATCTAAGGAATAATGCATCATCTTCTCGTAATCTGGAATTTCTCTTTTGACATTACAGACACTCCAATTTTATTATATGTATAGATTTGGTTTTTACCTTATCAAAGTAATTCACAGATAATGTTAGGTTATCATGCATTTAAATTTTGTTTGTATTAATTAAGACTATTGTTACTAAGGAAGTTATCAAACGGATATGAGATAGTTGCTCAAGCACAAGAAAACTTGAATTGTGTTCGTCTGATAGCAAATATGCTTATCAGTGATTAGGTAGAATATGGTGTTAAGAAATTCTTCATTAACTTTGCTTGGTTACACAGAAACGTGGCCTAACTTGCTCATGTCATATCATTTGTTGATTTTAAGACAGATAAAAGTAAAGAGAAATCGTTATAATTGCCTTTGTCAAAGTAAACCACAAAGGCATTTAAGAAATATATAGTAGACATAATAAACGTTTTATCACCGGTAACTTCTTTGAAAGGTGCTATGTCAATTGTCAAGTTAATACCCCATGCCTTTGTGTTGACATGTTATAGAACAGTTTACAAAATTATAAGCACCATTTATGTTTCAAAATAAACTACAGTGTCAGTGACAGTGGTAGTGCCCGCTTTAACATCTTAGCACTGCAGGGCCGGCACGCCCGGTGTAATACCACGACCACACAGAAGACAGGCGTCAAATGGAAGCAATTCCGTGTTTCGTCTGATGAGTGTGGTGCCGGAGGCCTAATTTAAGTCCCTTTCTCTTTACCATCCTTTTTTTTATAAGGAGAGGTTGGGAAGGTGAAGTGGATTTGCCGGTGGAGGAGATGCATAGGAAGGGGAAATATCCTCTTTATGTGCGTCTCCTTCTCCGCCTATAAGGGTAGGCAACGCATCTCCAATTGCGGATGTCTATGGACAGCGGTAGCTTCGCCATTTTGGTGATTTTAGGTGACCGCTTGCTCGTTTGCCACCTTATGTTATAAAAAAAAAAAAAAACAAAATAAAACCTATGTTGTTCCATATGTCTCGTTTATATATTTCTTAAAGTCTTTAGGTAGTATATTTAAAACTAGCAGAGTTGCCCACAGCTCTGCCGCCTATAATTTGTTCCAAAATAAAATTTTGCCTATGTTAATAATGTAGCTTTCAAATGGTGAAAGAATTTTAAAAACGGTCCAGTATTTTTTGAGCCTATTCATTACAATCAAACATACACAGTTTTCCTCTTAGTAATAGTATGTTGTTAAAAGGAATATGTTTAAATAAAACAAACATTTGAACAGTTAATATAAATATATTTTGAATTATTCAGAGGCTTCACAATATTTGGAAGAATGAGGGCCCAGCGACCGGTACACGATTACATTTACCATTTACAATTTTTATGTATAAAAATAAGAGCCGATACATCGCAAAGCAGACACGTGATACAAACGCATTGTGACAATTCATAATAATTAACAAGTAACAAGGACTACAGCTAAATATTAGCGAACCAAAGACGTGACACTTCAATGGCTCCTACGTAAACTAACGTAAGCCATTTGCGATTTTTTTCATTAACTCGATAAATAATTATTTTCATGTAAATTTTGAAGAAACGTCCGAAATTATTACACTGGTCCGAAAGATTACAATAGTTAAAATATTGTCTTGCAAAATTTGCATTTCAAACATACAATAGTTTACGTAGGAGCCATCGATTTCTAATATATTGCTATCCCTCTCATTGTCTATCAAGAAAACAGAGATAGCAATAGTTAGTATACGTCACGCCATATGAAGTTCAATACATACAAAATACATGAGTAAATTTCCACTAAAATGTTACCATGCGCTAACTATACTGTCGAAAAATATTATAATTTTTTTTAAATATACGATGATTAAATAATCGATATCTCTAACATCGATATTGTAAAGTAAAAAAAAATCAATGTAATTTCCGCGCCTTTTGATATTTATTAGCAACTTTAACATTAATAATACATATTCAGTACATTATTTGTTATGTAATATATAGGTACAAGTTAGCGCATAAAAAGAAAGAAAATTACCATTTCCGAGTACAATAATTAACCTAATAGAAAAACGTTCAAAGCCCCCATACAAAAATTGTTACTACAAAAAATGCAACACCAATGAAAATGGTGCGTTTCACTTCGTTTTCATATTTAAAACTAATCGTTTATTTACATGCTGATTCTTCTAAATATTTGCATCTGAACAATACATACATTAAAATCTTACAACTAGTGTACCTAAAGTGTGCAATTGTTTTTGCCTTTTTCAAATTTCGAATTTATCAATAGACAAGTTTTTTTAATCATATGAAAATATCTATGGCATTTAGCTTTTAAAAAACAATCACAACTGCACACATCTTAAATCGCTTACGTGTACTATCTATTTCATTTATTTAGGAGGATGTAGATAATAAACTTAGATCCAGACACCAAGTATAATAAAAAAAATTACACGGAACTCATTGTCTATGGTCTAATGGTGCGATACAAACCGAGTTCAAGTAATCAGTTCCCAGTTTTCACGAGTTCCGAGTAATTTACAAAAAAAATTAGGCGATCGAAGGAATCAGTTTTAGATTAAAAAATGCAAAGGCCTTATCAATTAAAGCCTAAAAAATCGTTTCCAGCGAAAAATGACTCCCTTTTATAACAGCAACCAAATATGAAAGAAAAGTTTGGTTCCTTATACGAAAACCAAGAGAAATAAAATTAATTTAGTATTCATCGCCTAGTATTTGAAGTTTTCGGGATTTTGTATACGAAAAAAAAAATTTTTTTTTTCAAGAATAACAAAATAATTTCAATAGCAATATATTTTATAATAATTACTTGTGCGGTTTTCCCAAGTAGGCTTCACACTTTAACGCAACTACGCATGTTCACAAATATAATAAAAGCAAAACAAACTAAAATTAATCAAATATTTTGAATTCAATGTATTTTCTCTAGCAATTGTTTTATTACGTTTTGTCATTTTAAAGAGATTAAAAATAAAAACCTTTGTTACTGCAAATTTCTAAAGGCCAATAATATTTGGGCGAACTATACTATAACTTCTATGTTATTACCATCTTTTACATTATAGTTGGATCAACAAAATATTGTTGCAATGTAAGGTACAAATTAAAATTAATTTCATACGACAGTTATAATAAAAAAAAATTACATAGGACCTTCGTATATGATTTTTTAACAGTATTCGGACAAAATAAGAGTTACAATATCACTGACAATAAAAAAAATCATTAGAAAAGTAAGTCAGCTAATTTGTCTACAATTGTTTTTTTAGCTAAAATTTTGTTTTAAAACCGACTGACAGAGACATTTTTTTGCAATAACAAAATCCAAAAAATTCATACTAAAATAACAAATTTCAATAACAATATATTTTTCGTTTTGAAGTTAACAATTTAAGAATTTTTAGAAATTTCATAGTTTTTGTGAATACTGTGTACTTAAAACGTTTTTTTTTTAATACAACAATACACTGAACAAAAAATAAGCAATAATAAATCGAAAAATATAATCTCTGTTAAAAACAAATTTTCAACAATTCCATTTAACAAACGTGAAAGAAAGATAATTTTAACATTGCGACAACGCATTATGGGGTAAACAGTAGTAAGTCTAGGAATGTATTTGCATAAAAGCACCTTATTATGAATTCATCTGTTTTAAATAAAAATTAAGAAGTATTTCACATTTCTCTTATAATCTCTGGCAGAATTCAAATATATTTAGTTCCACAAATACGACATTTTTTTTAACAAACATTAAAAAAATAACCTCAAACTTTTTGAAGTTCAGATTTTTTCAGTTTATAGTAACATTTGAAATAATTTTTTTTGTCAAAGATTATAAAAATTAAATGGTGTTTCAGAGGATATTATATATAAGAGATAAGAGGCCTTTTAGCGCAAATTACATCATTCAGTAAACTATATTAATAACTGGAACTTTCAGAACATTTATGCGTTAGACTTACTGCGTACAAGACATATAGCACTTACAAATTAAAAATAATCCACATTTAATAAGCGAATGACACCATTAATTTGTAAATGCCCTTATTTAAATATATACAAATGACAATCGACTTTGACAGACAGTCCGACTAACTTATTTGGCCCGGTGAGAAGCTGCGCGTTTGAACACAAAATAGAACAAACATGTGATATTTTTTTTACTATTGATAGGTGGGAGTTAATAAGCTTTTGTAATATAACCGGGTCAGATAAGTGAGTTTTGTACATATATAAAAAAGCGTTTAGATATAGATAGGTCAGTCACACCGGGCCACATTGCGTGTAGCGATGCAGTCAGTTCGTGTTGCACTCGGTATGAACAGAGACGGATGTTTTAGTGCGTTATTTAGTACAGCTGAGATCGCTGTTACTGGCAATCATCTCTTTCTACACTATCTGCAACAATTATATTCTAATTAAAATCTGAAATTAATAATTATTTGCAATAAACATACATATTAAAGAGAATTTTGTTTCTTTAAGGTGGTAGTAATTCTAGTTCAAAGAACTATTGGCCGGTTTCTCAGCCACTGCTAACCATTCGTTAGTGTTTATGATTCCATAACTTCACGAAATGCGTCAACTACGTAACTTGAGTTTCACTTTATTTAATTTAAATTCAACCTGAGATGAATCAGTAAGTTATAATAAAATAAAGGGAAATTTCATTAACCTAGCATATAATTTGGTACAAAGCAAAATCAAGTTACATGATATCAACAAGCTGACAGTTTTACGCTTAAATATAAGAATCAAAAATATTTCATTTTTGAACATAACTCTAGCTTTCGCCCGACTCCGTCTGCGTGGAATTAAAAACCAAAAGTAAGTAGCCTATGTTTTCTTCCAGACACAACACACAACTAAATTTAGATTAGGGGCAATCCACATAAAGCGGTCAGTAAAAAAAAAAAACAATGTTTTCATTTGAATTATTTGATTATGTTCTACCTATACCTGTTTATTACGTGTACGAAATGAAATATTTTAGTACTATACCTGTTAAGTTAGAGGAGCTGGCAGGGCCGCCGCGGGGGCTTGACGCGCGGCGCGGGGCACAGCACGGCGCGGATCGCCTCGTCGAACACCGTCTTCAGCCCCTTCTGCGTCAGCGCCGAGCACTCCAGGTACTTCACCGCGTTCACCTCCTTCGCCATGCTTAGCCCCTGCGAACCATTTACACTTACACTTACACTTTATTTGACACTAGCTGTTCACGTGCGGCTTTTATTCGCATGAAAAAATCTTTATTTCATTGTTTACATTTGTGAAATTCTAATTTGCAAATGTCAGAATTCAAATACTCGAATGACAACGAAGGCCTTTGATGTAGGATAACAATTGCCATTACCATGGCAACCTTACTTCCGTGATGTTGTCAGCTTGCAGTTTTTGTCCCTTTCCCCCAAGGCGGTTTCCATTTTATTTAACACCTAAGTTTTGATAGCGTAAAAATATACAGCCTAAAGTGTGTCGTAAGTGTAGGGCTTTTTATTAAAGATGGAATTATTCAAAAATATGCTGTGATTGCTGACATCCCACGCCACGAAATAGTATGTATTTACGTTTTTTTATATTATTATAGAAGTATAGATGTGTAAGGATTAAAATTTATTCCGCTTCCCATTAACAGCTGTCAATGTCATTCAGACGTTTTAGAATAGCACGACATTTTAGTGGGATTTAGTGATCGGAGCGTATAAATTAATTACTGTAACAATTATAATGTCTAAACAAGGTACCTGTGGATATGTGATCGGCGCTAGCTTCTTTTCCTTAAGCTTCTCAATTGTGTCCTTGTCCTCGCGAAGATCGAGCTTGGTGCCGACCAGGATGATGGGGGTCGACGGGCAATGATGCCTTACTTCGGGGTACCACTGGAAACGAGAAATATATACATTTAACACTAGCAGCATTTATTACATTGAAACTGTTTCTTTTTTACATACAAAAATAAAAATCTTTCCTCTTTCTAATATAGATAAGTATAGGCTACCTTTCGCCCGCGACTCCGTCCGCGTGGGACTAATAATCAAAAGTAAGTAGCTGATGTATTCTTCCATCCTATCCTCTACATCTGTGCCATTTCATAGAGATCCGTTCAGCCGTATAGATGAAAAACTCTAATAAACATCTATGATAATCTTTCGCATTTATATTAGTAAGATTCGAGAACTTACCTTGGCTCTAACGTTTTCGAACGAGGCAGGGTTGACGAGTGAGAAGCATATAAGGAATACATCTGTCTGTGGGTAGGAGAGCGGTCGAAGGCGGTCGTAGTCCTCTTGTCCGGCTGTATCCCAAAGACCCAGGTTGATAGGCTTCCCATCCACCATCACATTCGCTGAATAGTTGTCGAATCTGGAATAACGAGAGTAATTCAGGAAGCATTTGTCGGTTTGAAATGTGCCACCACTCAAAGAAAATTTTCGTAAATAGACGAGTATTGTGACCTAAAAAGTAATTTTTATTTTATTACTAACTGTTAGCTCACGACTTCGCCTGCCTGAAATTAAAAAAAACTTTGCCTATGTTACTCACTGATAACGCTTTTTAACGGTGAAAGAAGTTTTGAAATCGACCCAGAAGTTTTTGAGTATTTTCAATACATACAAAAATTCAAATATTTCCTCTTTATTATATTAGTATAGAATAATACACAATAATAAGAAAGAACATAATAATATCTTTTTAGATAACCGGTAACAATATATAAAATGCTATTTTTAATAATGATTCAATAAGCAAGGTCAGTTCACACCATCGCCAAACAGATACCGAGTGTGGGAGGTACCGGGTTCTACTGCTATCGATCTATTTACAAAGCTGTTCTAGTTGTATGTAAAGTTTTGCATTTATTTAAATTGTGATTTGTGCTGTTTATTATATTAACATACTATCTTATTATAATAAAGCGTAAACACACATTTCTTTGTGGCGTAAGATCTCAGCAATTACAGCATATTTTTTAATAAAAAGCCATACACTTATGTCACGCTTTAGGTTATATATTTTCCGTTAAACTTAGGTGGTAAATATTTTGGATAAATAATAAAACTTAATGTGGGACTGAGACCATAAGTTGCTGCCAACATCAAGAAAGCAAGATTGCCAAGTTTTGTCATGTCATGTCATTTTGACATTTGCAATTGAAAATTTGACACATGTAAAGAATAAAATAATTATATGCTGATGAAATCGCACGAGAACATCTAGTACTGGTATAATTTAGTAAGTACATTACATCAACGTTAATATTCGGCATATCATATATGTATATTCATAATTTCACTCTGAATGATTACTTCTTCTTTGTTGTATCGACAACAAATACATCGTTGTTGAAATAAATTTGAACAAGACAGTTCTTTCTCAATAAAGTTACCATCAATAATGAAAAAAGAAACAAATAATCTATAACCACTTTTACTGCTAAGGAATTGCCTTACGAGTTCACTTTAATACTTGAAATAGTAGTGGCAGCGTAATTAATTCTCGCATTATGTAGTTAAAAAGGGGCATAAAACCAAGGGCAGTATCAAGATGCGTATCTAAGATTGGAAGCTGTAAGATCAATATCGGTCAAGAGGATGTCTTCAATCAATTGTTCAATTGTGGGATAGCGTCCGGCTCAAGGCGACGGCGACAGACGCAACCCTGATATAACATCCTTATAAATATCCGTAATATTTTATTTATTGCTAGTTAATAACACTGCTGACTAACAAAATTCAATTACGTGTTTTCGTTTCACAATTCGTTGGCCTGCGAGACATGTAAACTAAGAAAAAATGAAATACAGTATTGTATACCATAGATGTTAAATACTGGCCTAGAGCGAACTAAATCCACTCTAGGCATGTATCAAAAGGTTTGCTTATGTTCAATTTGGGTAGTAAGCTAGCCCATCAGTTTCCAACGTCAACATAACTAGATTCTTATGTTTAATAATAACAAGTTTAAGTATACTTACACTGTGGGTATGTACTCTCCGGGGAAGGCATTTGTGGTGTAACTGATGAGAAGACATGTTTTACCCACCGCACTGTGAACAAGAGAAAAACAAGTTAGTTGACAACCACATGCATATAAGGAAGGGGTTATATTACACTGTGTTAATACTTTGACAATATCGTCTTGCGGTTAACCCCTAATAAAATGTGACTAGCACTTGACATTATAATTAAACTACCCTTTGCCCGCGACTCCGACCGTTTGGAATTAAAATAAAACAAAAGTGAGTAGCCTCTGTATTCTTGCAGACTATCCTCTACATATTTGCCAAATTTTATCCAGATCCGTTGAGCCGTTTAGACTACAAACTCTAAAAAACATCCATCCAACAATCAAAACTATTGCATGTATAATAATAGTATGGAGTATGAAGTAATGAAAATCGTCAATTAGTAAGCGGATAATTTCGCTGCAAAACACTTGTTTAAAGCATTTTCTCTGGGTTTCCAAAGGACAATACGTTTATAAAAGTGCTCAGTGGAAACTCACACTTAGCAGCCATCATTGTATCCTCGGGATATACACGCAAGGCATAAAACCATGAACAACTTATAACAAACAACTCTCAGGCACGTCCCCGGCCACGAGTGCGACGAATTCCTAACGTACCAAAACTTAAACTTAACGACGACCCATAAAAGTTACGACGTATACCGAAATGGCCCTTACTCCAGACTTACGCAGTTCAGCAATTTATAAACTTTGTTACCACTTAGGCACTAAATTATATTAAAACACACATTTAATCCCAGATATACATACTAGAAACGAGGAATTAATCAATCTAAACAGATGTGCTGTTGACAATGTCTAAATTTGCTTAAAGATATGACAAAAAAGTAAAAAAGCCTACATTTTCTAACCCTAGTTCTACTACAACAAATTGAATAAAAAGTACATGACAATGTAACCGCTATAACGTTTTAAATTTCAAATGTTCATCTCATGTATAAAAATTTACATATTCCGAGGTAGACAACGTTTACAGAGGGCGCTCTTAACCCATATCGTAAGCATAGTATACGTTCAGACCTCACTCATTATATTCAGTTTTCATAATGAGCAGACATCTTTCACAACATGTTTTGTTGACGGTGTATTCCATTTTTAAAACGTTGTGCCTGTGTGCTAGAAAGAGACAGATATAAGTTTGTCTGTTCTATAGATGCAATTAAAAATGAATTTTGTCACCATTCAATCTTACTAATCTTACTAGTATTATAAATGCGAATGTTTAGATGGATAGATGTTTGTTAGCTTTTGAAGTCTTAACGACTAAATGGATCTGGGTGAAATTTGGCATAGATGTAGAGCATACTCTGGAAGGACACGTAGACTACTTACTTTAATTTTTTTTTGAATAACACGCGGACTGATCGCGACCGAAAGCTACTTATCCTATAAATGATTAATAATATAGTTTTTAAAGGTTTTATTTATTTTCTATTAACAAAATTAAGTTATTCATACCATTTAAAAGTAATATATCATACTTCATACTAATAATATTATAAATGCGAAAGTTTGGATGGATGGATGGATGGATGTTTGTTAGAGTTTGTAGCCTAAACGGCTGAATGGATTTCGATGAAATTTGGTAAAGATGTAGAGGATAGTCTGGAAGAACACATAGGCTACTTACTTTTGTTTTTTTTTAATTCCACGCGGACGGAGTAGCGGGCGAAAGCTAGTAATACTATAAAGATTAAAAACCGCGAACCAATTAAACTAATAGTTATTACCGGCTAGACGTAGACAATAAAAATCTGACAATAGTATTCATACAATGGCATTGTTTGTCCTAGCTCCGTAATAAAGTATCGAGTTTCCAAGCTGGGGTTATCCGATAATACGGCGATGCCCTCTCTTTGGTGGCACGTCTAGAGGTCATAGTGCGATCGAAATCGGTCGGATAACCGTCGAGTATTCAACCCTCGTGCCTAAAGGACGACATCCTGGCAGATGAATCAATTAGGGCTGACCGCACACGACTACGTGTTAGAAATTAAAATTATTTGTCTATATTTTGTTACTAATGCTTAAATAGGTGAACATCAAATCCAATACATGGCGGCCATTACAAAAAAACTAAAAAAATCTATTTTTTTATTTTGTGATAATTATGACATTAAGTGAATTACTATTGTCCAGAAATAGTTGCTAGTTTAATGCAGTTATGTGAGAAAAAGGGTTTTATCTCATTTTGAAATGTACGAGTTTTATCGAAAAGTATGAAATATTTCTGTTGAAAATCCAAATACAGATTCGTTATTTAAAAATTTGGTTAAAGCATTGTTTAATAATATTTAATACATAGTACACAAATCTTATTTTATAGGCATACGGATAAGATATGATAAAATCGAGTACATACGCTGATAATTGATAGAACAAATCCCATGATAACTGAGTTTCCAAGCAACATTGATAAAACGTATTTGCAAATTCAATATGTCGCGAAATTTACTCTACTTTCGAAAGCAACTAAGTAATAAATTACTAATGTAGTAAATCCTAAGGTTACTCGAAACCTTGTGATACTACAAGTTTAATATGTTTTAGACTAGCTGTTTCTCGCGACTTCATCCGCGTTGAAAGAAAAAAAATGTATTAAATACTGCCTATGTTACGCAGTGATAACGTAACATTTTAATGGTGAAAGAGTTTTTGAAATCAGTATTTGAGTTATTTTAATACGAACAAAAATCCAAAAAGTACAATTTTCCTCTTTACAATACTAGTATAGATGGACAGTCTTTGTGTATATTTAGCCTTCTGAAATGGACATACAGAACGACCTAACTCAAGAATACAATTAAATATTTAGTTATATGGTGACGTAAACCAAATAGTGATAAATCAATCTTATTAAAAAAAAACCTTCTTAACGAAATAAATCACTTGCTTCGAACTATAAAACACATACTTGATTCATTTCAAACAAGAAGAATATTGAATCTAAATTACGTAATACCATCTGTTTGCTCAATAAACTGATTCAGAAAAAACCTTTGAAAGAAATCCTTTATGTACTAAAACTAAAAGCCAAAATAGAAGCCTATTTGAATCGGCCGCAAAACAAAGGACAACTAAATGGTCTTAAAAGATTAAAACCGACGTTGGTTGAAGTTTAAGCTGTAAGTAGCTTTGACTGGCTGAAAACGCAAAAAGAAAAGGTTTTTGCTAGAAAGCATACAGCCATCCGATTTATGTTTTTGACTATTTTTTCGTTTCGAGCAGTGGCGAGGAATTTTTTCGAGAGTTCGGAAATTTTAAGCTTTTTCCTGTTCTTGTTTGTTCTTAAAAACCATTGGTAAATAATAAAATCATTGTAATAGACATTTTATTTAATAAATCCTTACAAATGTCATTTGTAATTTCTACTAAAACGAAACATCACTTTCCAAACAAATACAAGATAAACATTTTGGTCTTTTGCTATGTAAGATTACTAGCTTTTACCCGCGACACCATCCGTGTTGAATTACAAAAAAACAAAAGTGAATAGCCTATGTGTTCTCCTAGACTATCCTCTACATCTATACCAATTTTCATTGAAATCGGTTAAGTCGTTTAGGCTACAAACTCTAACAAACATCCATCCATCTAAACTTTCTCATTTATACTAGTAAAAGTAAATAAGTAAGTATATCTTACAATCATGATTATTGCAGAGTAATAAAAAATATCTTACGTGACAACCCTAGATACATTCCAGTAATAAAGGACTGTCGATTGTCCGTCCGGCGGTAACCCTCGACCCGGCATACATGCACTGCGTTGCACTTATTTATTCAAATATCGGCAATTTGTATGACTGCAATAAGGCGTCATTGTACAACGAAACAGGAGATATTGTCGACAGGTCAATGACTTGTAGGAATAGTCTGTCTTACTTATTTTACTAATATTATAAATGCGAAAGTTTAAATGGATGGATGTTTGTTAGAGTCTGTAGCCTAAACTGCAGCACGGATCTTGATGAAATTTGGCATAGACGTAGAGGATATTCTTAAAGAACACATAGGCTACTCACTTTTGTTTTTTTTTTAATTTCCCGCAATCGAAATCGCGGGTAAAAGCTATTTATTTATAAATAAAAGTCATCATTATTTTTAGTTTTATTTGGTTAATTATCTAGAACCTCTGAAAGTAGGTTTTGTTATGTCAACTAATTTATCTAGTTAAGTAATTAATTTTAAAGAGTTTCATCAAAACATAGTTTAACATAATTTCCTCTTATTGTAGCATTACCTATAGAACGGTTAGATTGTGCGTACACCTTTGACTAAATTATCGCACAATTGTTTAGTCTCGTTTTCCAATGAGCTTTTATGGAGGTGTGCGCACTACTCCTTTAGTTGTGATAAACAGTTGAATTGGCTGCGAAACAACCGAAAATCGCACAACAGTTGTGCGATAGATTCCATACTTTTGGTTGTACTAATAATGTTGTCCAAAAAAACATTGCACTCGGTTATCTTGTGCCCACAATGTCGATAAACTGGTCAATTTTGTGTCAACTTCGATCGTACCACTGAGTCACCATGACACACACCGATGACGCATCCGTCATGGGTTAATGAAAACAAAAAGTGTGTACAAATCATCGAATGCACCATCAATAATTATATAACGTCCTTGTTTATGTTTGTTTATGTTTCGTTTAATAGCTCACGATTTAGCATTGCTACAAGTTTATCGTGAGTTTGCGTTCGAAACGTACAAGTCCCTCTCTATTTGTGACGTCGATTGATTGTTATTTCCCTTATTTTCTATGATTAAGCAGAGACTAAACTATATTGTTGTACTGTTATATCGATAATTAGGGCCTTACCCACCACTGGCTTAAAAATGACGTCACTGCCAGATAAGGCAACAAAATCTGGTATTTTGGACTCGTCGGATTGTTATCAGACAATTTACAACTTGGTGGGACAGGCCCTTTAACTTGCGGTTTACCAAGATATAAAAGAAAAAAATGAGTTGATAGAATAGCAATTATCTGTAGTAGCTACTGATTAAAGTTCT